AAAAATGGTCGTCTATTATGAAGTAAAGACGACGGTTTTTATAAAAAAGGGTCGTCTATTATATGTAAAGACGACGGTTTTTTTTATAAAAAGGGTCGTCTATTATGAAGTAATGATGACGGTTTTTTTTTAAAAAGGGTCGTCTATTATATGTAAAGATGACGGTTTTTTTTATAAAAAAAACGTTGTCTTTTAAAACACGCTAAAAAAAGGCCGCTTAAGTGAATTCGCCCTCGACAAATTTTCAAATTTTCCCCCGTCTTTGAAAACCTTATCTCTCATTAACAAGTGTAGTCTTTTAAAACACGCTAAAAAAAGGCCACTTAAGTAAATTCGCGCTCGACAAATTTTCAGATTTTCCCCCGTCTCTGAAAACTTTATCTCTCCCTCCTTAAAACCTCCTGAGCTCCTCTCTTCTTGAAACCCTCCTGAGCTATCTGAAACACTCCATCTCTCACCTTTCTACTCCTCATACGTACCTACCAGCCATCGGCACCATCGACGCAGCGACGCCGTCAACGCCATCGTTCTTCGCATCAGTCATCACCAGCCGCCATCGAAGCCATATTCACAGTCAACGACGACGATGTCCTTGAAAATAGATCTAGAGACCTTGCGAGATGGGAAAATCCTAGAACATCAGATCTGGTCTTTGATGTCGCCTGAGGTTCGATGATAGATTTCCATCGCGCCTTCTTGGTGAGCTCTCGCCATCCACAGGTGAGCTCGCCATCCACGTCACAAAAGAAACTCTAAGTTAGTCAAAATGTTCTTCTGTATTGTGTTACAAATGAACTTTTCCTGCATAAGCTTATGCTTGTATAGATGATGCATATTTTTTGTTAGTTAAGATGACCTTGAAAACAGATCTAGAGACCTTGCGAGATGGGAATATCCTAGAACATCATATTTGGTCTTCGATGTCGCCTGAGGTTCAATGACAGATCTCCATCGCGCCTTCTTGGTGAGCTCGCCATCCACGTCACAAAAGAAACTCTAAGTTAGTCAAAATGTTCTTCTGTATTGTGTTACAAATGAACTTTTCCTGCATAAGCTTATGCTTGTATAGATGATGCATATTTTTTGTTAGTTAAGATGACAGCAAGATAATGTAATCTTATTGTAGTTTTTGATTGCTT